TATTTCTTTTCCTGGTGACATCCTCATGCGGATGCTGAAGATGCTGATCTTGCCCCTTGTGATCTCCAGCCTAATTTCCGGTGAGAGCGAGCTGGGGGGGGGGGGGGGGGGGGGCAGAAGGGGCTGCGGGTGTGCGGCTGGTGTGCAAGGGAGATCTCTGCTCCAGAAGTGCTTGCAAAGCGATGAAGTGGCTCCTTGAACTGAGTCCCCAAGCATATTGGTAGCCAGTGAAGTCTTTCAGCATCAGGTTGATGTATTTGTAACAGCTCCGATCAGTAAGAAGCAAGGCTGCTGCCTTTTGCTCTCGTTTAACCTTATGCACCCTATAAGCCGCTCCATAATGAAGAGCACCAAACCCCCCCCGGAGACCTGTCCCTTACACCCTCCCACCCTCCCCCTTTTCTCAAGTGCTCCAAGGAAATAGAAGGGCCCCCTGTCTGAAAGGCCGCAGACAGGCTGTGGAGAATCAGCAGGGGCATGGTGCCTTTTCCCGTTGGTACCCGTCGCTCATCCACCAAAGCACTCTGCCCCATAACCAGGCCTAAAGCCAAACGGACACGGGTCATAGGCAGAAGCTTCAGTCAGGTGTGTCAGGAGGTAGCTTTGATACCTCTTCCTCGGTTACTTTGCTCAAACAAGGGAGATACCAGGCAGGCCTCTAGCTGTCCAGTGAAGGCCTTTTAAGCAGCGGTTCCACCATAGCTTCCTTCAGGGTGGGTGGAAAATTCCTTTCAACTTGTAGGGCACAAGCAGTGGGTCTTCTCGTATTAAGCTTGTGTGTGGTGTGTGGCAGTAGGACAGGAACAGAGGTGAGGAAACATATAGATTCTCATTGCTCGTATAGACCGTGTCCTGTCCGGACAGATGTGGGTGGCTGTTACTCCCTATGTGTCTGTAGTGTCGGGAGAATATGGTCAGAGAAGCCGCCCCCCCCCCCCCCCGGCCACAGATTTTGTTCGTCTTGAAGGTGCTCCTGGGCTCTTGCTCCTTTCTGCTTCTACAGGCAGACTAACGGCTCTGCCCATCTTGATCTGTCCCTCTGTATGTCTTTCTGGATTGGGCCAAATCTAGCATTTGGGTTCCAACTGTGGCCCACCTCAAGCGCCAGAAGCTGACAAACAGGACAAAAGCCATCCCCTGTTTTGAGCCCTAGTAACTGATATCGAAGGCGTGTCGTTCTGTTTCGCTAATAAGCCGACTCTTAAGTGCTGCTGTGTCAGAGGGTAGCTGCCCATTGCCTTACCTTGTAGTGAGCTCTATAGGTGAGGATGAAGAACTTGTTGAAGTATTGGGGGGGGGGCTGCTCACTGGTTCAGGCTGGTGTGGAGCCAGCGCGGCTTTTGTACCAGAGCCACCTTCAGCTGCTGCTTTGCCAGCGGAGGCTCCAGTGAGAGGCACGCACACCTGTCCTGGGGTTGGTGGCCATTCCTGCCGAGGATATCCCTTCCTGTTTTACGACTCACAGACTTGATTTCTTCAGGTGGCAGATCTGGATACTAAGAATGGAGTCAGAACAGATGAGAAAGGGAAGGCCATACGGCTCCGGAACCTGATCAGCATGGTGGAATGCACAGATGCCAACGGCAACACACCGCTCTCCGAGGCCTCCGGGGGTGGCCACCCTTCGGCCATCAAGATGCTGATCGAAAATGGAGCCAATCTGAACAGTCGGGTGAGGAGCCGGTGATACACGGAAAAGAGGACCGTGGGGCGTGTGATCTTGTCTTCCCCTGAGGCCCTGGTTTATTTATTTATTTATGCGATTTCTACCCCGCACAGGCTCAGGGCGCTTACAACAATGGCACCAATTGCCATTAGCAACCAAGCGGCCTGAAGAGCCACTTTGGGGTATGGCAGAGAGACATGGTTCAGCCCACCCTCTAAACTTCTGCTCTCACAGACACCATTTCCCAATCTCCCGTGACTCTGAGGAGATAACTGCTTAGATTCTGGGCTCCAAATCCTCAGGAAGCTGCAGGGAGCCTAGTCTGCGTATCTTTTTTTTTTTTACAATGTTTTTATTGATTTTTCCATTAACATATAATAGCACAAATTTACAAACTCCACATTAATATATTTTAACAACAAATAATTCTCCTGATCCGTACATTCCTTGTCTTATACAATTTAAATATCGCTTTAATCTCTAACCTTACTCTATTATGACTAGCTTAATTTATTTCTATCTTCTTTATCTTAAGCCAGTTATATATTACTCCCCATCTTTCCCAGAAATTTTCTTCTGGTTTATTTTGTAATTCTATATTCACTCTATCCATTTCCACTATTTCCAACACCTTATACTTTAATTCCTTTATGGAAGGTAAGTTATTAGATTTCCACCGTTTTGCTATCAAAATTCTTGCCGCGGTTAATATATATATTATTATCTGCTTATGTCTTTTTACTGTATCCGGAATCATATCTAAAAGATATATTTCTGGTAGTAGCGGTAATTTAGTCTTTAAAATTTTTATTATTATGCCCTGGACTTTTTTCCAGAAACTCTGGATCTTATTACATCTCCACCAGATATGGATAAACGTCCCTACATTCTTCTTACATCTCCAACATCTATTTGTAGCACCCGGAAAACATCTAGCAATTTTATATGGAGTCCAATGCCACCTGTAATACATTTTATAAATATTTTCTTTGTATGGTACTGCCCTTAAGTATTTAAATGATTTCCAAACTTTAAGCCAACTGTTCGGATCCATAGTATATCCCAGTTCCTTCTCCCACATTGCTTGAGGATTTTTTATTTCCTCCTCAACTCTAATGTCTTCAAGAAATTTTTTATACATTTTTTGGATTAGTTTATCGTTCGATGAGAGCCAAATTTTGTCTAGTTCAGTTTGTGTCTTGTAAAAGCCTATTTTTTAATCTTCACTGAAACTTGTTTTTATTATGTTCTTTTCCCACCATGACAGCTCAATTTTATGATTTGATAGTGTCTCTTCTGATTTTAGTTCCGTCTCTTTTGTTAATAGGTTTACATAGGTCTCTTTCCTTCTACCTAATATTAGGGAGGGTTTTGTAAACGCCTCCACCGGTGAGACCCACAGTGGTATCTTATTATAGTTATTTTTCTTAATAACATTCCAAACTTTGATGAGTGCACTTCTGATTACATGTGTATGAAAATTGGAGTGGATTTTATCTTTGCCATACCATAGGTATGCATGCCATCCCATTACCAGGTCTGCTCCTTCCAATGCTAGTAGTCTGTTATCTTCTAGTTTGGCCCAATCCTTAATCCATTCCATAGAAGCCACATAGTAATATATCTGCCAATTAGGTAGGGCAAATCCCCCTTCTTCTTTAGCTCTTTGAAGATAGCTCAATTTTATCCGAGGTTTTTTGGATTGCCAAATAAATTTCCCTACTATTTTATTTAAGTCCTTAAAATATTGGTGTTTTTTTATTATTGGTAAATTCTGGGCTAAAAATAAAAACCTTGGCAAAATATTCATTTTGACTGTGGCTATTCTTCCTAACAAGGATAGATGTAGCTTCTCCCATCGATTTAAATCTCCTTTTATCTCTTTTAACAACTTTATATAATTACTAGGGAGGAAGGCCCGTTGAGAAGTGCGATACAACGGGCTGCTAGCCCCCCCCTCCTCGCACCCTCCCCCTCTCTGCCCTGACCCAGGCGGCGGCCGGCGTTAGCGTTGTGCCCGTCGGCCCCAGCCACTCGCGCCTCGCGGTTATCCTCCGCACGGCGGCCGGCTCCCCCCCCGTCCTGACCCAGGTGGCTGGCGGGCTTAGGCTGGCGGCCGTCGTCCCCAGCCACTCGCAGCTCTTCTCCGCTCGGCTGTCGCCCCCTCCCTCTCTGCGCGCCGACCCAGGTGGCTGGCGGCCTTAGGCTGCTGCCCGTCATCCCCAGCCACTCGGACCTGTCGTGTCTCCTCCGGCCGGCTCTCGGCCCCTTCCACTGTCTGGGCCGACCCTGGCGGCTGCCGGTCGACTCGCGCCTCTCCCCCGGCCGGCTCTCGCCCCCTTCCCCTCTCGGGCCCGACCCAGGCGGCTGTTGATCGACTCGCGCCTCTCCTCCGCCCGGCTCTCGCCCCCTTCCCCTCTCG